AGTATAATACAATAATGTAACATGATGACATAATCAAACCTGTTATTTGAAGGTAGTATAATACAATAATGTAACATGATGACATAATCAAACCTGTTATTTGAAGGTAGTATAATACAACAGTGTAACATGATGACATAATCAAACCTGTTATTTGAAGGTAATATAATACAACAGTATAACATAATCAAACCTGTTATTTGAAGGTAGTATAATACAACAGTATAACATGATGACATAATCAAACCTGTTATTTGAAAGTAATATAATACAACAGTGTAACATGATGACATAATCAAACCTGTTATTTGAAGGTAATATAATACAACAGTATAACATGATGACATAATCAAACCTGTTATTTGAAGGTAGTATAATACAAGAGTGTAACATGATGACATAATCAAACCTATTATTTGAAGGTAGTATAATACAACAGTGTAACATGATGACATAATCAAACCTGTTATTTGAAGGTATTATAATACAACAATGTAACATGATGACATAATCAAACCAGTTATGTTTTTAGGAACTGTATCTTCCACCAAGTAACTTATTTACCCAAATTTTAAATAATTTTAGTTATCATATATAGATCATAGTGTAAAAAAGTTTACACTAGTGATATATGTATACTAAGTTGAAAAAGTCAGTTGTAATGTATTTGAGGGATTTATTCAATTATAGTAGGATGTAGCTGAGAAACAAGAACAGATCGTTCATGAAATTGGGATTATTTTGTAATTTCCTGTTGTTGTTTTTCTTTGCCGTATGTGAATTAGAGGAACTTTTGAGTATGATGGAGCAATCACGACGTAACCATTTCTTGGATATGGTAGCAACCTTTTACATGTATCTAGTCTGAAAAACATTTAACCGTCATTCTAATACTGTTGACTGATATATATCTAGTCTGAAAAACATTTAACCATCATTCTAATACTGTTGACTGATATATATCTAGTCTGAAAAACATTTAACCGTCATTCTAATACTGTTGACTGATATATATCTAGTCTGAAAAACATTTAACTGTCATTCTAATACTGTTGACTGATATATATCTAGTCTGAAAAACATTTAACCGTCATTCTAATACTGTTGACTGATATATATCTAGTCTGAAAAACATTTAACCATCATTCTAATACTGTTGACTGATATATATCTAGTCAGAAAAACATTTAACCATCATTCTAATACTGTTGACTGATATATATATTAATGCCTGAATATCTATTTGGAAAAGTTTTATTGCTTTCCATTTATATCCCAGAGAAAACTACATGGTTTCGGGATTATTACCAGAATGTAATATGAAAAAATAATAAACGTTTTGTTTCTTACTTGATAAAATATTACTATCTTTATTTCAACTACTAAACATAAACATGTCTATTTAGTGTATCAAGATTTTCAAATGTACACTACATAAACAAACAAACAGTATGACAACATTTTGTAACTCACCACTGTGACTTATGCTGTATAAACAAACCAACAGTATTCCAAGGTTTTATAACTCATCACTGTGTCTTGTGCAGTATAAACAAATAAACAATGTACCAAGGTTTTTAACTGACCATTGTATCTTGTGCTGTATAAATAAACCAACAATGTAAGCATAAGACACAGTGGTGAGTTATAAAACCTTGGGTATAAACAAACAATGTACCAAGGTTTTATAACTCACCACTGTGTCTTATGCTGTATAAACAAACAATGTACCAAGGTTTAATAACTCACCACTGTGTGTTGTGCAGTATAAACAAACAATGTACCAAGTTTTTTAACTCACCACTGTGTGTTGTGCTGTATAAACAATGTACCATGGTTTTATAACTCACAACTGTGTCTTATGCTGTATAAATAAACAAACAATGTACCAAGGTTTTATAACTCACCACTGTGTCTTGTGCAGTATAAACAAATAAACAATGTACCAAGGTTTTTAACTCACCATTGTATCTTGTGCTGTATAAATAAGCCAACAATGTACCAAGGTTTTATAACTCACAACTGTGTCTTATGCTGTATAAATAAACCAACAATGTACCAAGGTTTAATAACTCAACACTGTGTCTTATGCTCTATAAACAAACCAATAGTATGAACAAGGTTTAATAACTCACCACTATGTCTTATGCTCTATAAACAAACCAATAGTATTCAAATTCGATGACGAGGAACCCACTTTGAGACTAATAATGGCTGTGTCTTGTGCAGTATAAACAAATCAACAATGTACCAAGGTTTTATAACTCACCACTGTGTCTTATGCTCTATAAACAAACCAATAGTATGAA